GAAATTGAAAAAAATAAAACCCAAAATATTATTATGAACAATTGTTATATTGGTGATTTATTTCAAAGCGGTTAGTTATTCAGCGTCGAAACTCCTTTAAGTGTAAGTGGCCTTTTTGTTGTGGCCCTCGTCCTCCACGGGAAGGGGCATGAAGACCAGACACTTTGCCTGACGAAAGGGGTCCTGTGAGGCTCTGAAACGTTGCATTCACATGTCATGCTAAAGGCATACGAATAAAGATGGCATTCTGAGGCAGAATGGTGTGCCGACAACTTATCTTCTAGACTGTATACTGTGGCGCAGGGGCGTAACTAGAAATCACAGGGCCCCATAGCAAAATTTTGTATGGGGCCCCGTGATTGCTAGTTGTGCCACTTGCAGAGCCCACCTTAGAGTGACCCTGCAGAGCCCACCATAGACTCTCTATAGTGGGCTTTGCAGGGTCTCAGATGGGCTGCACACCTCTTACCTGTCAGCGCTGTCCGCCTCCATGGTCGCCAGGCCCCGCCTCCTCTTCCATCCCTGGGCCCCGCCTGCTATCAACGGGCCCCACCTCCGCTTCCATCACTGGCCCCAACTGCTCTTAGGTCGCTGGCAAGTGATGTAAAAGGAGGCGGGGTTGCTCTAAGGCCCTCCTCCACTGCGAACGCCGGTGTAACCGGCCTCTTCTGCCGTAGCTGCTGGCTGTCACTGACACAGCCACTGCGGAGCTGTGTCAGTGACAGCCAGCACCCTGAAATGCCATAGCAGCCCACACGGCAGCAGAGGGATGCCCTGGCCGGGCCCCATAGCGGCCGCCTGGGTCGCTATGTCGATTGTTACCCCACTGCTGTGGCGCCATCCACCAGTTGCTCCAGCACCCATTGGATTCTGGGGTACATCGGTACGGTGTGCAAAGGGGATATTACAAAGAGATGAAGACCAAACAGACTCTCCACTCTGGTGCCTTCATAAGGTGAATGAAGACGGTGGCCATTCTGTTGTAGTTCAGATTTCCTCATGAAAGGGACACAGATGAAACACAAAGCAGCCAGATTCCAGGTGAGGGTTCACATTGTCAATACGTTAGTTGAAGAGGCAATTTTGTTGTAGTCCATTGAATAAGACAGGTGAGTCTCCAATGCTTTTACATGACTATAGATCCCACAAGCCTCAGTTGACCTCTCTATAGTTCCTGTTATTTGAGATTAGAGGTTTCTAAAAGCTGAGGTATTGACTCATTTTTTTTTTTATTACTTTCAGCTCTGACATTTAGAAATGATGTATAAATTACATTTACACCAATTATAAAGCAATAGGTCATATCTGGTGCTAACTGGAGGGAACTGAGCCATATCTGGTGCCAAGCACAGAACACTAGGTCATGACTGGCGCTATCTAGAGATCACAGCCATATCTAGGTCCAAGCATAGAACACCGAGTCGTATATGGTGCCAACTAGAGAGCACTGAGTCATGTATTGGGCATTTACATATATTTAAAAAAAAAAGCTTTCACAAAAAAAAAAAAAGTTTTAATTCTTGGGTGTCCATTTATGGTGAATTTTTTATCGTCCTACGGCCATATAGGGTGAGCTACAACAAAATGGCCGCTACACGTACTGCCCACTATTGTATAAGCGCTGGCTGCTGCGGACTCCAACAAAATGGCCGCCAGTTACGCATAACAAGAAAAACATCTCTTTGCTGCGAGCTACAGCAAAATGGTCGCTATAGTATAGACGCTGGCTGCTGTGGACTACAAGAAAATGGCCGCCGGTGGAGACCTGCCGCCTGCTTCCATGATTGCAGACGCAGCGGCGGCCATGTTGGGTGTGGGCAGTTTGGCGTGGAAATTCCGGAGAGGAAGTGGGCAAGCCATAGAGAGGAAGTGGGCTGCAATTCCTTTGTATTCAGTATAGAGGGGTGCTGAGAGGAAGGTGAGTGTGCTCTCTGGGTGGACCCCAATGTTCTGCTGTATAATAGGGAGGGTGGAGGAGGGGAAGACTCATATAAAACCTGGAAATGTTCTATTTATGTCCAGGGCTGTGTTATCAATCTGTGACATCAAAGAGGACTGGTCACCATGGCACTCATGCAGGAATGTCTCTGTGTCATGGCTGTGCAGGCTTACCTATCAAAGATTGATACCTGCCCTGTATTAATATGCCTTTCCCTGATCCGACTCTTCAGCCAGAGTGTCGGGTGGGGGTCCAGGGGCCGCCTGCAGCCGATTGGCCGACGCCCTTTTGCCCAGTTGACCTCACATGCTGCCTTCCAGCTCATTAGTCTGTCTAACCGTAGGAAATAACAGAGCCCCGTGGTTGGGACGGAGGTATAAGGCTAGGTGGTCCTCATGCTTGTCCTTCCTGCGTGGGCTCAGGAACTGGGAGATGACCATCAAGCTGGCGGCTGTTGAGGTTCTGAAGCTCCCGGCAGTTCATCATTTAAATACCTGATCAATGGTTGTGAGCCGGGGAACCCACACGGTTTGAAGACGGTAGATGGGTGTTCCTGGCTGGGAGGAAATCAGAACCACAGCACATTGGCGTCGTGGTTAGCACTTCTGCATTGCAGCACGCAGGGTCCCCGGTTCAAATCCCGGTCAGGACACTATTTGCATGGAGTTTGCATGTTCTTCCTGTGCTTGCGTAGGTTCCCCGGTTTCCTCCCGCACTCCAAAGACATACCGGAAGGTTAATTGGCTCCTCTCCAAAATTATCCCTGTATGTGAGATGGTGACCTCAGATTGTAAGGTCCTTGAGCATGGCCAGGAGAAGGTTGAGTATCTTCCTAGTAAGGACCACAGCAGACCATCCAGGATGGGCAGTCTTCTTTGCAACTAAACCAAACCTTGTTGAGGTTGTCTATTTGAGGATGAGAACTGAGGCAGGTCAGGGTCCAAGAGGGACATTTCCGAAATAAGCTCTTCTGATGATGATGATGAGTACTTCCCTGTAGATACCCTAAAAAGCAGTGCCCAGATCAAGCCTTGATTGATCACTCTGACCCTACAAGAAGCCCTCTGTTGGCAGTGAGCTCTGCGATTTACGTAGGTGGTCGGTGGCATTGGGCTTCAGGTGGAGCCTGGTACACCTAGAAAGTTCTGGCCGTCTCTACAATGAACGTTCCTAGGAGGTCATACGGCCTATAGAAAATGCTTTACCTAAAATGCTCAGAGCTGTATCTGGCGGCCCTTTCCAATACGTCAGGATGAACCTGATGTTTGTTCATTGCTTCCCTATGGTAGAGATTCATTTACATGTTTTCTGCTTTTATTCACCATCAGGGCTGCTGGGACCTCATCATAGTCCTTTATCTACCAGGGGCCGAGTCCTCTTCTTTACTGTTCTGCTGAGGATGGACAAGGAGAGGATCAAGATCACTGAGAGGATCCTAAACCTCACCTTGGAGATCGTCTGCCTGCTGACCGGAGAGGTGAGGAGGATTGTGGGAGGTCACATGACATCACTCTTATCTCTATTCATAAAACACAGACCTGACCGGAGAGGTGAGGAGGATTCTGGGAGGTTACATGACATCACTCTTATCTCTATTCATAAAACACAGACCTGACCGGAGAGGTGAGGAGGATTCTGGGAGGTCACATGACATCACTCTTATTCATAAAACACAGACCTGACCGGAGAGGTGAGGAGGATTCTTGGAGGTCACGTGACATCACTCTTCTATTAATAAAACACAGACCTGACCGAGGGGGTGAGGAGGATTCTGGGAGGTCACATGACATCACTCTTAATAAAACACGGACCTGACCGGGGAGGTGAGGAGGATTCTGGGAGGTCAAATGACATCACTCTTAATAAAACACAGACCTGACCGGGGAGGTGAGGAGGATTCTGGGAGGTCACATGACTGTGTTGCTTTTTCATTCCAGAGTTTGCCTCCTGTGAAGTCCGGTGATAATGTGACCATCAAGGTGCCCCCACTGCATTCGTTGATACCTGAGAGAAAGGACAAGAAGATCCTAGAAGTCACCCAGAAGATCATCGAGCTGCTGACAGGAGAGGTGAGCGGTGCCGGGAATTCTGGGACATGATCCAGGAACAGACAAGGGATGTGTCTGGATGGTGACTGTATCATTGTGTGTGTCAGGTGCCTATAAGGTGTCAGGATGTCTCTATCTATCTCTCCATGGAGGAGTGGGAGTATCTAGAGGGACACAAGGATCTCTACAAGGAAGCCATAACGGAGGACCAGAGGAATGAGGACACCATGAAATGGAGACCAGGGAGATGTTCCAGCCCTCTCAATACATTGAACTACACACAGGAAGATCACAACTATGCCCAACATTACGAGGTAGGAGGCTCCTAGGAACCGAATGGTATAGCTGCCATTTAAAAAAAAAAACATTTGTCTAGTTAGAAATATGGAATTCTAATCCTGTAATTTTATGATAATATTTAGAACGGAACCCTGGAAAATGTTGAAATTAAAGAGGAGAAAGAGGATGAGATGGTGATCATGGTGAAGGTGAAAGAGGAGGAGATTCCTATAGAGATCGGTGTAGGTGAGTAACAAACACCAAATCCAGGAAAGTCCCAGATTCTCCTTGTTCAGTCCTACAACAATGTCTTCTTTGCCACCGGTGTGGAAAGTATTTGGAGGGGATCAGGAGCCATCAGCCTTAACTCTTAAGGCTCATCAGCCAAACTTGTGCTTACAGGATCAGAAAACCTTGTGAGAACTTCCTTCAGCTTTCATGTTCTTGTGGTTTCCATGCTGGAAGCTTTGGTCCCACTGCGGTTGTTATGACCAGTTCCTCTCGGAAATCATAGTTTATAGACACTGATGATTTGCCTGGCTGAAGTCAGGTCCAGTCTTCCACTGGTCAAGACATCAGTCATGAATTGGAGGTCCTCCTTCAAGAAGTCTCAGGTAGCTCAGCGACACAGTAATATCCGTATGGACATTGAGTTTTGAAGTGAGCTCCAGCAGTAGTTAGGAGACTCTGTAGAAGACCCATGAGAGGTCCTCCTAAAGCAAGTCTCAGTAGCTCAGCGACACAGGAACATATTTATGGACATTGTGTCATGAAGTGTGCTCCAGCAGTAGTTAGGAGACTCTGTAGAAGAAGACCCTCGAGAGGTCCTCCTAAAGCAAGTCTCAGTAGCTCAGTGACACTGGAACATCTTTATGGACATTGTGTCTTGAAGTGTGCTCCAGCAGTAGTTAGGAGGCTCTGTAGAAGAAGACCCTCGAGAGGTCCTCCTAAAGCAAGTCTCAGTAGCTCAGTGACACTGGAACATCTTTATGGACATTGTGTCTTGAAGTGTGCTCCAGCAGTAGTTAGGAGACTGTAGAAGAGAATCCATGAGAGGTCTTCCTAAAGCAAGTCTCAGGTAGCTCAGCAACACAGGAACATCTTTATGGACATTGTGTCTTGAAGTGTGCTCCAGCAGTAGTTAGGAGGCTCTGTAGAAGAAGACCCTCGAGAGGTCCTCCTAAAGCAAGTCTCAGTAGCTCAGTGACACTGGAACATCTTTATGGACATTGCGTTTTGAAGTGAGCTCCAGCAGTAGTTAGGACGCTCTGTAGAAGACCCATGAGAGGTCCTCCTAAAGCAAGTCTCAGTAGTTCAATGACACTGGAACATCTTTATGGACATTGTGTCTTGAAGTGTGCTCCAGCAGTAGTTAGGAGACTGTAGAAGAGAACCCATGAGAGGTCCTCCTAAAGAAAGTCTCAGTAGCTCAGCGACACAGGAACATCTTTATGGACAACAGTAGTTAGGAGGCTCAGTAGAAGACCCATGAGGAGAGCAACCATTGATAGACCAGTGCTAAGCCTAAAGAGGCACTTTTTATTTGAAGTATACGGATGCTTCCAGAGGTCTCCTCGCTTAGCGGAGTCCTCCAGCTAGCTGTTGCCCTTCTACCAACAATGTTACCTACTGAGTTGTGACAAAGTTGATGTTCTTCAGTCCAATATGTCACTTAGATTAATATTAACCCCAAATAAATATGGAATTCTGGAGCCAGTATGTCCAATCCAGGAGCCAGCTGGACCGTTTTTAGGACAACCTAGAGGAAACCTCAAACGTTGGGCGCCAGCTGTAATTTGTAAGGAGCATTGTCTACCTGGCTTCTGGCATTTGTTCCTTAGCCTCTCTTCAAGTTGAACTTGTTTTTGGAAAAGTCTTTTAGAAAGACCTAGTCATGTACATGATATGCCGTATCAGACTAATAGTATGCCAACCTACCAGAAATGGGCTGACGTCCAGGAACATCCATAGGGATATTCTTGAGATGTCTTGAAGGAGGACCACCAATTCCGAGCCTTTGGTGCACCCAAATCCCAAGCAATCTTGTCAGCCCCGTGCAGTTCTCCTGTGCCGAACTATGGAACATCTCCTCATCTCCATAACTTAAAGGAGGGGGGGGTGTTCGAGGGGTAAACATAGGTAAATGTGCATGCACTGCTAGGTATGCAATGGAGCCCCATCTCTACAGATGTCTCGCAACCAAACGTGAAAATGTCTTCTCTTCCTGGCAGATGGACGCGAGTTGAACAGATCCCCGGATTCTCACACTCTATCCCCACATGGTGATGACGATAATATGATGCCAGGTTTCCAGAAAGGAAATGCCTATGCCCGAAATATCCATACAGGACATTACAGTGTGCCAAGTGCCCCCTCTGGTTTTGACGGATCTTTTAGATTACATGGTATCCACCAGGGAGTGTACAGTGAGGATAGAAGAGCCAGTTCTTCTACTGGCATCCATCCAGAACGCTACGGAGCAGACAGGTTGGTTGACCTGTCTAATTCTGAGGGGTATTATCCCGGTAGATCACATACCATGACACCAGATTTGCACCTAGCTGCCCATAGGTCACCAGATCCCTCCAGTTCAGAGGGACCGTTGCCCAATAAGCCCCGTGCGCCGAAATTTCAGTGCCCGGAGTGCGGGAAGTGTTTACCCCAGAAAGCTCAACTCGTGGAACATTTAAAATCCCACAAGGTGGACAAGCCGTATTCCTGCTCTGCTTGTGGGAAGTGTTTCACGGGCCAAGCCAACCTTAACCGCCACAAGAGTGTCCACACTGGGGAGCTACCTTTCATCTGCCCTGAGTGCGGCAAGAGCTACGGGACTGTGTCGTGCCTCAATGAGCACCGCAAAACCCACAGCGACAAGAGGCCATTCCCATGTGCTGAGTGCGGGAAAAGCTTCCCCACAAGCTCTGCCCTCCTTCAGCACCAAGATGCTCACACTAACGATGGGCCCTTTTTTTGTCCCGAGTGCGGGAAGAGTTACAAGCGGAGGTGGGAGCTCCTTAAACATCAGAAGGTTCACACTGGAGAGAAGCCATTCTCGTGTTCAGAGTGTGGCAAAAGCTTTGTCTGGAAGTTTGCGCTGACCACCCACCTGAGACGGGTTCACTCTGCGGAGGGAACGTTCCTGTGCACCATATGCGGGAAGCTTTACCCATGCCGGGCACGGCTTGTGGAGCATCAGAAGATCCACTTGGGAGAAAAGCCCTATTCCTGCTCAGAATGTGACATGCCATTCTCCACCCGGTCGGAGCTGGTGAACCACCAGAGGACCCACACCGGCGACAAGTCCTACCAGTGCTCGGAGTGCGGCAAGTCTTTCACGTGGACGTTCCAGCTACGGACCCACCAGCGCATTCACACGGGAGAAAAACCCTTCTCCTGCTCCGACTGCGGCAAGAGCTTCACCTTGATGGCTCTGCTCCGCAGACACCAGAAGCACCACACAGGCGACAAGCCCTACTCCTGCTCAGAGTGCGGCAAGCGGTTCATCACCCGGGCCGAGCTCATCGTCCACGAGAGGGTCCACCGGGGTGAGAAGCCTTTCCCGTGCCCGCAGTGCGGCAAGTGCTTCACCCAGCGCTCGCAGCTCCAGACCCACCAGCGCATTCATACGGACGAGAAGCCGTATCCATGCCCCGTGTGCGGGAGGTGTTTCGGGCGCAAGTCCCATCTGGACAAACACAAGAGAACTCACGATCGCTAAGATGCGGCATTTTTGTTGTTTTTTTTAAACTCAGAGATTGTTTTATTCATGCAATAAATGCGTAATAAAGTTTTAACCCAAACTCAGCGTCTTGCTGTTCTCTACATCTAAACGCGGCGCCTAATCTTTGATAAGAACGGTTGGCAGCCTGCAACTAGAGCTTCAATTTGTATCTAGGCCCCTCCCCCACCCTTAAAGGAAAGGTTCTCATGGAGCCCAACAGTATGCAGAAGGGATCCTGTACCAGGTTACCCATCAACCCCAAGGGCTGGCTCATTGGTTCCCATCCTTCCCCAGTACACCGAATTCCATCAAAGAAAGCCACACCTCCATCACATTTTGTTTCAACTTCAAAAAACTTTATTACCACTTGTACAAATATGAAGCAAACTGAACCGCCGGACACTGCTCCCAAATTTCCCCCCAAATGAGGCATAGTCATCGAGCTCCATCTACGAGTAAGCCTAATTTGGAGTCATAGAGCTCCATCTACGAGTAAGCCTAATTTGGAGTCATAGAGGTCCATCTATGAGTAAGCCTCATTTGGAGTCATAGAGGTCTATCTATGAGTAAGCCTCATTGGAGTCACATAGGTCCATCTATGAGTAAGCCTCATTTTAGGTCACAGAGGTCCATCTATGACTAAGCCTCATTTGGGGTCACAGAGGTCCATCTATGAGTAAGCCTCATTTGGGGTCATAGAGGATCCTTCAATGAGTAAGCCTAATTTGGGGTCATAGAGGTTCATCTATGAGTAAGCCTCATTTAGGGTCATAGAGGTCCATCTATGAGTAAGCCTCATTTGGGGTCAGAGGTCCATCTATGAGTAAGCCTCGTTTGGGGTCAGAGGTCCATCTACGAGTAAGCCTCATTTGGGGTCATAGAGGTCCATCTATGAGTAGGCCTCATTTGGAGGTCCATCTATGAGCCTCATTTGGGGTCACAGAGGTCCATCTATGAGTAAGCCTCATTTGGGGTCACAGAGGTCCATCCATGAGTAAGCCTCATTTGGGGTCATAGAGGTCCATCTATGAGTAAGCCTCATTTGGGGTCATAGAGGTCCATCTATGAGTAAGCCTCATTTGGAGTCATAGAGGTTCATCTATGAGTAAGCCACATTTGGGGTCATAGAGGTCCATCTATGAGTAAGCATCATTTGGGGTCAGAGGTCCATCTACTAGTAAGCCTCATTTGGGGTCATAGAGGTCCATCTATGAGTAGGCCTCATTTGGAGTTATACAGGTCCATCTATGAGCCTCATTTGGGGTCACAGAGGTCCATCTATGAGTAAGCCTCATTTGGGGTGACAGAGGTCCATCCATGAGTAAGCCTCATTTGGGGTCACAGAGGTCCATCTATGAGTAAGCCTCATTTGGAGTCATAGAGGTCCATCTATGAGTAAGCCTCATTTGGAGTCATAGAGGTCCATCTATGAGTAAGCCCCATTAGGAGTCATAGAGGTCCATCTATGAGTAAGCCTCATTTGGAGTCATAGAGGTCCATCTATGAGTAAGCCTCATTTGGGGTCATAGGGGTCCATCTATGAGTAAGCCTCATTTGGAGTAATAGAGGTCCATCTATGAGTAAGCCTCATTTGGAATTGCAAAACAATACCGGCGCCTTCAAATCCAAAAAGAGCCCAGCAGTAAAATACAGCAAACACGATGGAGGCAGCTCCCACAGATTAGATGGACCACCAGTCTATGAGAAAAGGAACATAAGAGAGCGCCTCCATAGTGTAAAAATGTTATTTAATAGTAAAAACACGCAGCTCTAAGGCTGTGCTTACAACAGTTCGGTAGAATAAAAACCAGTAGAATAGGGTGAGGGGACGGAACACCTGGCAGGGAGAATCTGGAGCGAAGTAAAACACCAGTAACCTCGATCCCTGTATTGATAAATGGTTTACGTGTTTCTGGGGCACGCCCACTAGTGATGCTGAGACTCTATAATTGAAAGAACTGAGATCCAATGAACGAAAGGGGCGGGGCCAGGGAGAGTCAGGCTGGGGAGAAGGAAAGGGCTAGTCGATGCTGAACATCCTCCAGCCAGGAAAATGAGGCGGGCTCCGTCTGACCTGCTGCTGCTTCTAATACACTTTGTGAGAAGCTCGCAGTGTGCAGTGACATCAGAGGAAGCCATTTCAGTCCAGGAGAGGAGCCAGTACAACTGTGCAAGACTGAAGGGGAGGCCGGAGGTCAGATAGAAGACTGAAGAGAAGGACGGAGGTCAGATAGAAGACTGAAGGGAAGGCCGGAGGTCAGATAGAAGACTGAAGGGAAGGACGGAGGTCAGATAGAAGACTGAAGGGAAGGACGGAGGTCAGATAGAAGACTGAAGGGAAGGAGGTCAGATAGAAGACTGAAGGGAAGGAGGTCAGATAGAAGACTGAAGGGGAGGGCAGAGGTCAGATAGAAGACTGAAGGGGAGCACGGAGGTCAGATATGAGACTGAAGCGGAGGACGAAGGTCAGATAGAAGACTGAAGGGAAGGACGGAGGTCAGATAGAAGACTGAAGGGGAGGACGGAGGTCAGATAGAATACTGAAGTGAAGGACGGAGGTCAGATAGAAGACTGAAGGGAAGGACGGAGGTCAGATAAAAGACTGAAGGGAAGGACGGAGGTAACACCCAGTTCAGCTGGGCCATATTACCCATAAGTCACTGGAGACCAAAGGAATTGGGATGGGAGGGGCAACAAAAAAATACCACATTTCCTGTTTATTTTATCCTTCACTGGCCCTCCTCCGGATACAGGAAGTGGTTTACAAGCTGCTTAGAGGAGTCACATGGATCTACGCAGCTCAAGTCGTCGCCACAGGAGCTCTGACTACACCTAAGAGCTTTGGTTGTAATCTGCACAGTTATGGGGAGGAGCCTGTATGCAGCACCGTTTCTGTGTGCCTAGAAGCCAATGGGAGCCGAATCAGGTTCAAAGATTCAACTTCATTATCAGTAGTAGAACCAGATCACCGGTGAGGGATGAGCTACAGGCTGGTGACACAGGGCAATGGAAGCTGTACTTTAATCTCGTCACCAAAAGCCCCACCCCCAAGGGCTCACAAACATGGGCGGAAACCCAAGAGCCCAGGGAGGTAGGAAGCTTCTGGACGGGCGACACACACCACCACATTTCTACCGGTTCATGGTAAAGTTTTTGATTCTTTTATTTGGTTTTCGCCAACAACAATCCAAAGTCTCTCAGAGTACGAAAATCACAAAATGAAAGTTACAAACATGAAATAAAAACAACCTAATAAAGCTTTCTGATTAAAAAAATACTCCCGTTAACTGGTCCGGTGCCCCTTTAGGGGTGCGCCGATGCCGAGACCGGTATCGGTGCATCCCTAGTGCGCATCGGTTGCATAATTTTCGACAGTCTGACATTTCTAGAAGTCTTTGTGTATTAAATAAGAAGAGAAGTCTAGTTTTCCGCACCCCCCCGAGTGGCGGTGCCGGAACACGTCAGCTGTTGGTAGCATTTCAGGCCGGCATCGGTTCTCCGTTGTCTAAGACCCGGAGGGTGTCCAGCAACACGAGGACGGTTCTTCAAAGGTGTGTCAACTTTTGGATGAAGAAGAAAAATACATTCCGTGTCGGAATAGTTTTCCTCAGGGGCAGGGCTTCACAGCGATGACGCCGCTGGCATGAAGCTCCAGGTGCTTCTGGAGGGTGGACTTCCGTGCGAAGTGTTTGCCGCACTGCGAGCAGGAGAATGGCTTCTGACCGGTGTGGATGGTCTGGTGGTTGTCCAGGGTGGACTTCTGGGCAAAGCACCGGCCGCATTCCGAGCAGCAGTACGGTTTCTCGCCAGTGTGAGTCCTCATGTGTTTTATGAACTGCGACTTTAAGGTGAAGCACCGGCCGCACTCGGTACAGGGCAGTATGTTCTCGCCCGTGTGGAGCCGCTGGTGGTTGACCAGGTGGGACTTCTGGGTGTAGGACTTGCCGCATTCAGAACAGGAGAATGGCTTTTCTCTGGAGTGACGGCGCTGGTGTTTATCGAGGTCGGAGCTGTGGGCAAAGAACTTCTCACACTCCACGCATGGGAACACCTTCTTGCCCACGTGCTTCTTGTGATGGTCGCCAAAATCTGGTTTCTGGCCGAGCTGGTCGTCGCCCTGCGTCCTCTGGTGTTCCACCATCTTCACCAACCTGGAAAAGCATGGATATAACGTGTCCTCCTGGGGCTCCACCCGTTGCATCGCATCGCTGAAAGAAGATTCCTCGGAATTTAATGGCACCTGTGGTCTATATCCAAGAAGACTTGAAATAATATTTGGGCAGGTGGTCTGAGATTGGTCAGAAGATGTTTCCTCAGGTTTGCAGGGATCTGGTAGTCTATATGGAATGAGAAGACCTGGTTTGATATTTGAGACGGAACCTGATTTACCTAGCATAGGTTCCTCAGGATGAGAGGGATCTGTAGATATATCTCCCTCGTCAAGTCTTGGGTAGATATTTGAGGAACTAGCATGTGATCTACTGGTATAAAAGTCCTCGGGGTTAGAGGGAGCCGGTGATCCAGCAACGCAGTGGAGTTCCTGATTTATATTTGGAGTAGGAGAATTATTGGGTGAAAACTCTTCAGGACTAGGAGGGCTGGGTGATCTGTCCGCATTATGAAAAGCTGGATGGATTTTGAAGCAATCTTGTGATTTATCCTCATCTGTGTCGCAGGCTGAAGGTAAAACGGGACATCCCATTGAAGAACTTTTGGTGTTGCCGTCCTCTGATGGGGCAGAAAACACAAGATGTTAAATATTACATTTTATTTCCGGGATCATGGCTTAGACACTAAAAGGATACAGATTTTTTATGAATAAAACCTACACAATATGGCCAAACGTGTGTGGACACCTGACCATCACACCTATATGAGCTTGTAGGACATACCATTCAAAAACCATGGACATTATTGGAGTGATGACCCCCTTGGTGGCACCTTTCTTCTGGGAAGGCTTTCCACAAGGTCTTGGCATGTGTCTCTGGAAATGTGTACCCATTCAGTCAAAAGAACATTTGCAAGGTCAGGTACTGATGTTGGATGAGAAGACCTGACCTCATAATTGGTGGTCCAATTTAAACAAAAAGGCTCTTGGGAAGGCCAATTGAGCCCCCCCATATCAACCCATGTCTTTATGGAGCTGGCTTTGTACGCAGGGGACAGTCATGGTGAAACAGAAAAGGTTGGAAGTGCACAATTGTCTTAGTTTGCTTCAGCATGAACATCACCTTCAATGGAAACACATAAACTCAATATTTGGAGTGGGGTCTACATACTTTTTTGGCAGTATATACCTTTGCTATGAACTGAAAGCCACCACGGGTCAAGCAAATGGTCCTGGAACTAATTTTGAAAGGACATTCCTTAAGCTCAGAGTCTAGATGTAAGAGACTGCAGATAAGACTATGCCAAAATAGCGGTCTTAGTCAGCCGTGTGGACTTGGCTACATGACTGTCAACAGAAAGAAGCTGACTCTGTTATTTCATGGTCTGTCAAGGTTTTACAAATAAGACTTTGGGTTACCAGGCTTGGAGGAATGGTCATGTTCTACATGCATGCGAAAGCTGGCAGAAGAGCAAGAACAGAAAGTTCTGAGCTCACAACAACCCAGAGAATGTGGATTCAGTTTTCATTACTCACCTGTGGCAATCTCTGCAGGACCGCCCTCTTCCTTGCACGGGTGACCGCCAATCACATATGTTTCTTCTTCGTCCTCCTCCTCTTTAATTTCAACTTTAATGTTGATCTGGTCTATGCCCTAACGAGAGTCCAGAAAGCAATGATTTACTTGCGATGGAGATTAAATAGAAGAGAAAGAGTTCATAAGATATATCCAATGTCTCTGCTGGGGTCAGACGAGGCCCTCAATTCCACCTACCTGGTAGTGGTGAGGGATCTTGTGATCTTTCTGTGTGGAATCCCGGGAACACAGAGGACGGGGACATCTTTCTGGTGAACCTCTACTACTGGATCCATCTGTAGGAAGCACACACATTGTTTCTATGTGTTTATCAGATGATGGGAGATCTAGGTGGACCCATCTCCTTTACAATAAAGTCTCCTCTTACCCGGTGATGTGAGGGGCGGCCGATTCTCCATCATGGCGTCCTTGTAGAGCTCCTTATGACCTTCTAAATAATCATTCTCCTTGGAGAGACAGTCTGTGACATCCTGGCAGCTTATAGGAACCTGACACACACAATGATACAGTCACCATCCAGACACATCCCTCGTCTGTTCCTGGATCATGTCCCAGAATTCCCGGCACCGCTCACCTCTCCCGTCAGCAGCTCAATGAGCATGTTGGTGATGTCTTGAATCTTCTCCACGTTGTTTCGCTCAAGAATTGGTGGAGGCACTGCGATGGCCTTCTGGCTTCTACACCATCTTTCTGACATAGGTGGATACATCCCTTGGAAGAAACCCTCAATGCATGTCATCTTCACGGCAGCATATTTCTACACAAGAGGAAGAGCAGCATAAAAAGTGATGTCATGTGACCTCCCAGAATCCTCCTCACCCCTCTGGTCAGGTCTGTGTTTTATTACTAGAGATAAGAGTGATGTCATGTGACCTCCCAGAATTCTCCTCACCCCTCTGGTCAGGTCTGTATTTTATTACTAGAGATCAGAGTGCTGTCATATGACCTCCCAGAATCCTCCTCACCTCTCTGGTCAGGTCTGTGTTTTATTAATAGAGATAAGAGTGATGTCATGTGACTTCCCAGAATTCTCCTCACCTCTGGTCAGGTCTGTATTTTATTACTAGAGATAAGAGTGATGTCATGTGACCTCCCAGAATCCTCCTCACCTCTCCAGTCAGGTCTGCGTTTTATTACTAGAGATCAGAGTGATGTCATGTGACCTCCCAGAATCCTCCTCACCTCTCTGGTCAGGTCTGTGTTTTATTAATAGAGATCAGAGTGATGTCATATGATCTCCCAGAATCCTCCTCACCTCTCCGGTCAGGTCTGTGTATTATGAATAGAGATAAGAGTGATGTCATGTGACCTCCCAGAATCCTCCTCACCTCTCCGGTCAGCAGGTAGATGATCTCCAGAGTCAGGTTTAGCATCCTCTCCGTCATGTGACTCTTCTCGTCCTTCTCCATGGCAACATAGGCAGTTGTATGGTGCACAGCGGACATTCTCCTATGGATGGTGCAGAGATTTATTGTCAGATGGGAATGGGAAGGACTGACTCCGCTACCTCTGTGTACTACACGTACCATGGTGATAGTAGGGGGAACGCTGTGCTGTAAGACTAAACTTTGCACTGCATGCTAATCAGGTCTGTGGTGTACGCCCGCTGCTTTCTATGGGCGTCTCTGTCATGCCTATCTCGCACTTAGGGATCAGGAGCAACCCCCCAGTGTACACCCCCCCCACCCCCGTATGGACCAGAGCAAATGTTACATTTCTGCAATGGGCTTGTTTATTCTACAAGAGCCTCTTATCTCTGTAGTCTGCACATTGTTTATAAACACTGGGTCACATGGTCCTTATTTTGACAGCCGGGAGTTGCAGGCTGTGGAGCAGAAGGACAAGAGGTACTGCACGCGTCCCAATGGTTAAAGACACCTGGCCCGCCCCTTTAATTCATTGGATTTCAGTTCTGTCAATCATGGAGGCTCAGCATTAGTGATGGGCTCGGGCGTGTTCGCAGCTCCACGGGCCGAGCCCGCTGATGGTCTTCATTCAAATACAGCCTGATCAGCCAGTAGCATTCCGGACCCCAAGTGACAAGTATCAGGAAAGGGGGACGGAGGAAATGGGGGGGGGGTTGCTTTTCGAGGCCCACCCCCCCTTCGTTGAGAACACCTGACAGCTCCCGGGTATTTGGCAGCATAATTTTTTTTTTCATTCTGCGCGCTCAATTTACTTTTTTAATCAACTTTACGGACGCACTGCGAAGATTAAAGCAACAAAACGGCAACCTTCGGAAAACGGCCTTATATAAAGTCATGGAACAATAAACCTCGGCCTAGAACTTGATAGGGGAGCATCGCGGGGGGATGGGGCATGTGTATCGGTGCGTTCGCGGTGGCGGGTGGACGGCAGAGGGACAGTGACGCTTCCATGGCTTCAGCACCGACAGGGTTAACAAACACAGAAAGAGCAACAGACTTGTGTGAGGTAAACGGCCCATCTGACAATAACCGTCTACGTGGAGGATTTGAAAAAAAGGCAGCACGCCGACAGGAGGGGGGAGCCTACGGGAAAGACGCTGCACTCCGAGTAAACAGAGAATCATAATAAATATAATTTTAAAAAAAAGTCTTTACCTGCTGCCAGTTAGAGCAATGGTTTCCATCCACTTCCTGCTCCTTGACCCCTGACCTGGAACTTCCTGTCTGTGCAACACATCACTTCCTGTCTCTGCATTCCAAAGGCAGGCTGGCTACAACAAAATGGCAGCTGCTGCCATTTTCTTTATTTTTTCATGTTGCATGTATGTGTGTATCTCTCTCTATATACAAACCATTCATCATATACATGGTTCTCAGATCAGGTTCTCCTGTCCTTAGATGTAGCTGCGTTTACGTGCGTTTAGACGCGTTCTGAGTGTCCAATCGAATCCCAGACACAAAAAATAATAATAAATCCTATAAACGCGTACAAATGAATATCATCGCAATCCCCATGTGCATGAGGGCCAGTGGTATCTGTGGTACTAGCGGATCACATGACTGATGAAGGGTACCTGTGTGTTCTTGAAACGTTGTTTTTAATCATGCATTTGCGCTTTGGAACGAGCGTGATGGCGACATATCCGTGTGACGCACTGCGACCAGTCGGGGAGTCGTTAGCGCGCCCTTGTGACCTCATGGTCGATTCTAGTATGGTGTGAGTCAGGACTCCATATTTACATGCGTTCAGTTTGCCTGCCTTCAGATCACATAGGAATTTGTGCATCCAGGGGCAGATCAGATCCTCGGAACGCGTGTACGCACTCGTACGTTTAAGCGTGGGAGAACTAAAGCGTTTGTTCAGATTAATTTCAAGGAAACGAGTGCCGGCGATCCATGTTGACAATTATTTTTTTTTTCCATTGTAGGAAGTTTAGTTGGATTTGTATAGAAGGTGACCGCGCTTTGCATGGCGATCTCGGATTGGCTCGGGATGTCCAGAAGAGAGGAGAGTCTGCAGGCGGCTTGTCCTGTAACAGGTTTTATCTCGATCGATGTTCGGCAAGGATGCTGACTGTCCATAATGTACAACTCCTGTGCCCATTATGAGGGGCTCCCACCATCCCTGTGCTGAGTTCTCGGGTCTGTACACCCGCTGTGCCCATTATGAGGGGCTCCCACCATCCCTGTGCTGAGTTCTCGGGTCTGTACACCTGCTGTGCCCATTATGAGGGGCTCCCACCATCCCTGTGCTGAGTTCCCGGGTCTGTACACCTGCTGTGCCCATTATGAGGGGCTCCCACCATCCCTGTGCTGAGTTCCCGGGTCTGTACACCTGCTGTGCCCATTATGAGGGGCTCCCACCATCCCTGTGCTGAGTTCCCGGGTCTGTACACCTGCTGTGCCCATTATGAGGGGCTCCCACCATCCCTGTGCTGAGTTCCCGGGTCTGTACACCTGCTGTGCCCATTATGAGGGGCTCCCACCATCCCTGTGCTGAGTTCCTGTGCGGAGTTCCTGAGTCTGTACACCTGCTCCACCCTTCACTAATATATCACCTGTGGGTGGAACGACCCATTATATTCAGCTGGTACAACAACCTTTTTGTTTCTCTCCCCCCAGCCGTGGAAAACATCGGCCTTATAACTTGGGTCTTCTTGGCGTCTTTGCTTTTGGGTAAACCCAACTGTAACGTTCAGTCATGGCGCCTAATGTTTCTCAAGACGCATGCTCAGAAGAGATCCACGCAGGATGGGTACAGATGAGTAATCTGCTTCATGATGGGCTGACCTGACAAAGTATACACAATTCATACTTCAGGCATTCTGCGAAGAGTCACAAATTAAAGCTTACATTGAATCTACTTGTATATTGCCTTCCCTGCGCTCCAGTCACACATATACCGTATAGCACAACGGAAAATTTAGGAATGCTTTTAATTTTACAAAAAGTACAAAACCAAACAAAGTTTCCAAAGTGTAAAATTTCAACAGTGATGAAATGACTGTCAGGGTATATTGATGACATTTAGTCCCGTTGTAGCAAGTAACGTCGTCGATATACCTCCACCGATCCGGATCTTTAATATTAATTCCTGTAGTCCTGTCTTGTTTCTATTTTGTTTTGTAGTTCGTGAGAACAGATGACATAAAAGATCATAAACAGGTCAAATATATTTATTAAAGGTTGTGCTTGTGGGGTGTATTCTCAAAGTACAGAAACTGCGTGGAAAAACGGCCAAAATCAAGGCTGACCAACGAGTTTTCCTGTATGAAGTCTCGGGTGCTTCAGAAGATCGGAATTCTGGGTACATAACGGATAGCAAGCGATAGCTCCTCCCCTACGGTAAGTGTGCTGATGTATGACAACGTCCTCCTGAGCTTGTAGTATGAAATCTCAAAGTCAACTGTCCCTGAAAAACTACCATCAATGGGAATGGACAACAGGTTTCCCTGTGTGAAGTTTCTGGTGGACCACAAGATCAGAATTCTGGGTTGAACATGGACCACACTGATAGCAAGGAAATGGCTCCCCCCCTTCGGTAAGTACACTGATGTATCACATGTTCCCCACTTTCTGAACATGCAACAACCTTATTATCCAGGTGAGCTCTTTGGTGACAGATGAGACTGGTCTTCTGGTCCAACATTTTATGGCACTGTATGGGGGATCTAGATGGACCCTCCGCACTGCTCTCTCCTCTTACCCGGTGATGTGAGGGGCGGCCGGTCCTCCATCATGACACCCTTGTAGAGATCCCGGTGTCCTTCTAGATACTCCCACTCCTCCATGGAGAAATAGACAGAGACTCCAGACATCCTCCATTCAACAAGCTAGAGAGATGGTCCTTTATTTTCTCTTTTAGTTGTGTATGGAGTGGGTGATGGGTTAGAAACTCTGTCAGACAGTTTTGCTGCTATTACGCCCTTTCAAGTCACGTAGGACCCCAACAATCTTAATCAGAAGCCTCACAGGGCAACCATGACAGGGTGACAAGGATCGGGAACCAGTAATGACAGATCTCAGCCAGTGATCACTGTCGGCAGACGCTGATCACCCAGCAAGTTTTACCAAAACATCAACTGCGACCTTATTTCGATGCACTAAAGCCAACTATATTGAAAGGCCAATCCCAGCCACCAATTGGAACGCATGGCATCATTCCGACTGTACATACGACAACTGTTAATCGGGGAATTGGCACAGCGTCACATGACCTCTCTACTGATGTCTGTGGGCTCCACCCTAACTCCTTTGTGAGCTCTTATAACAGAGGCCCCCAGAGTTTCCACCACAGAGAAGGTATGATACGTTTTAATACCTGCTGCCAGTGACAGCACTGTCTTTTCTATACTTCCTGCTGCTTGACCTCTCACCCCGAACTTCCTGCCTCTCCATCTCAATGAATTCCGGTTATGCGTTCCACCTGGCTTCCGGGTTTTGCGTTCAGCCGCCCCGCCCTCGTGTGGCCGCGGTGAGAACTGCAGGCGAAAGGGGTTCACTAACCTTCTGTTCTGTGAGAGCACTGCCCTCGTCTGGCCACTGAGAGGGACTGCAGGCGGCGATCAGCACAGCATAGAAACGTCTAGCTATTTTATTTGAAAACACTGCCCTCGTGTGGCCAATCAGAGTGACTACAGGCGGCGATTAGCACAGCATAAAAACGTCTAGCTATTTTCTATTGCTATTTTACAACACTGGCCTCGTGTGGCCACTAAGAGGGACTGCAGGACGCTATCAGCACAGCATAGAACCGTCTAGCTGTTGTATATGACAACACTGCCCTCGTGTGGCCACTAAGAAAGACTGCAGGCGGCGATCAGCACAGCATATAACCGCCTACCTATTTTCTGTGACAACATTGCCCTCGTGTGGCTATTAAGAGGAACTGCAGGACGTGATCAGCACAGCATAGAACCGTCTAGCTGTTGTATATGACAACACTGCCCTCGTGTGGCTATTAAGAGGAACTGCGGGTTGTGATATGCATAGCATTGGACAGTCATGTTATTCTGTGACAGCACTGCCCTCGTGTGGCCACTAAAAGGTACTGTAGGTGGCGATTAGCACAGCATGGAACCGTCTAGCTATTTTCTGTGACAGCGCTACCCTCGTTTGGCCATGAAGAGGGACTGCAGTTGGCGATCAGCACAGCATAGAACCATCCAGCTATTTTACTTCACAGCTCTGCCCTCGTGTGGCCATTCTGAGAATTGCAAGTGGCTGCACAAAGCTGTCCTGCTGTTTTAGTGACAGCACTGCTCCTGTGTGGCCACTAAGAAAGACTGCAGGCGGCAATCAGCACAGCATAGTAACTATTTTCTGTGACAACATTGCCCTCGTGTGGCCACTAAGAGGGACTGCAGGACGCGATCAGCACAGCATACAGCCGGCTATTAAGAGGAACTGCGGGTGGCGATATGCATAGCATAGGACAGTCCTGTTATTCTGTGACAACACTGCCCTCGTGTGGCCACTAAGAGGTACTGTAGGTGGCGATCAGCACAGCATTGAACCATCCAGCTATTTTCTGTGACAGCACTGCCCTCGTGTGGCCACTAAGAGGGACTGCAGGTGGCGATCAGCACAGCATAGAACCGTCTAGCTATTTTCTGTGACAACACTGTCAATACTGTACAATGGCACCCCGCACTGACATCACTGTTCACTGACCTAGTGAACTGAAAGCACTGACACTGAACAGTGAAATCAGTGCTCACTGACATCACTATACACTCCCACTCATCACTCTGACACAGCAGCTCTGCATGAAGAAAAAAAAATGTCTTTGTGTTGCGTTCCACTGGCAGTAAAGCTGTGCGTTCCAAAGGCCGGATGCCGCTGTCGATATCCTTCACCGTGACCCGTCTATAAAGTTCTGCTTTGCCAGTGTTGTCTCCCGCTAACTGACCATATAAGGAGTGCGTGACGTCACACCGCCGCTGAGCGCAGAACCCAGAAGCCACCTGAAACGCACAGAAGAACTCAGGTGGAACGCACAACCCGGAAGTTTGCCTGTGCAGACAGGAAGTGTTTTTTTCCCCCTGTATTATTGAACGCCCTGTACAGTACATAATACATATGGTGAGAAGGGAGAGGGCTGATGTTGTCACCCAGGGGATGGTGTGTTTCACCCAGGGAGGGTCTTTTCTTTATGACTGTGTGACCAAGAATGGGAACCCCAAATGACATCTACAGACTGGAATATTCATGTGTATTGTGTGTAAGAGCGGGCATGCAACGCGTCAGCCCAGTCTTCTACCTCTCATTGTATTTTTTTTCCACAGACATTGGAGGCCGCACCTAGTAAATCTCTTATAACCCGGAGACCTTCCATAAGAACGGACCAGATCATAGACAATGGAGAAGAGCCGCGGTCACATGACCGAGAGGATACTAAGCCTCACCCTGGAGATCATCTACCTGCTGACCGGAGAGGTGAGGAGGAGTCTGGGAGGTCACATGACATGACTCTTATCTCTAGTAATAAAACAGACCTGACCGGAGAGGTGAGGAGGATTCTGGGAGGTCACATGACATCACTCTTATCTCTATTAATTAAATACTTGACTGTTAAGCTAGATTCATCATGTGAGTGTCCTCCCATCATGGACTCTGTGTAAGTCTAGTCTTGGACTTCTTCCATTGTTGTATTAATTTAATATTGCTCCTAATAAACAGGACTGCTCAGTCGTCACAGACTCTGGTGAGCGTTTGATAGACTGCAGCCGGCCCCGGGTGTCCAGACCGCCGCGTAAAGCCCAAGCTCCTCCAGCCGGCAGGCTGAAATGCGAGAGAAACCACGAAGAGAAGATCCTAGAAGTCACCCAGAAGATCATCGAGCTGCTGACAGGAGAGGTGAGCGGTGCCGGGAATTCTGGGACATGATCCAGGAACAGACAAGGGATGTGTCTGGATGGTGACTGTATCATTGTGTGTGTCAGGTTCCTATAAGGTGTCAGGATGTCTCTGTCTATTTCTCCATGGAGGAGTGGGAGTATCTAGAAGGACACCGGGATCTCTACAAGGACGTCATGGTGGAGATCCGGGAGCCCCTCACGTCACCGGGTAAGATAAGACTATCATGGATGGGATTTTACATTTAAGTCTGGACAGGTCTGTTGTTTCTACGATGTATAAATGTCTAACTCATTCTCCTTTGTCTTTGGCGTCCTCGGTCTCCACCATGAAGTAGAAAACGTGGTACTATGTGGTGATAAGCACATTGAGTTTGAGCTTGAGAAGAAGGATCCTCAGGAGATGGTTAAACTTGTCTCACTCATCAAAAAAGCCCTTGGTGAGTGGGACAAGTTTAACCCTCTCCTGGGGAATCTCCTCCTCATGCTCACACTCAACGTGTGCATCATAATGCAGTACCAAATGTTCTACTTCATGGTGGAGAGTAAGGAAGCCGAAGAGCTAAAAAGTCCAAGACCTTCCTGGAAAGTAGTTATGCCAAGATAGCCCGGTTGGTGGTTCCTCGGCCTCCACCATGAAGTAGAATTCGTGGTACTGTGTTGTGATCAACACGTTGAGTACGAGCTTGATGAGGAGGTTCCTCGGAAGAGGGTTAAGCTTGTCCAACTCACCAAGGGTTCTTCAGGGATGTCCAAGGACTTTATGAGTGGGACAAGTTTAACCCTATCTTGAGGAACCTTCTTCTCAAGCTCGTACTCAACGTGTGTATGATAACGCAGTACTACAACTTCTACTTCATGTTGGAGATCAAGGAAGCCAAAGCCGTTCTAAAAAATTCTAGACCTTCCCGGAAAGTAGCTGTGCCGAGATGGCCTAGTTGATGGGCGAGTTTCTATCATAGACAGCTAATTGGTTCCGTTCCATGTTTGCCTCTGGCCCTAAATCCCAGTCTGTCCCTGTGTAGCTGAAGTCCTCAACTCGCGCAGCATAGGTTGGTGAGCTGTATCACCTTGTCTGGACCTCGGTAAGGTTTTGGGGTGGTTGTAAATGTGACCCGTGACTTTGGCCTTCCTCCAGGGTGGCTGACCAGCCTTACTAATAAGCTATTCGTGATCTCTGCTCTGGTCATGAAAGCCTACTAAAATTATATGCCGCCCTCCATGGACATGAAGGTGTCTGCTGACTTAGAAGTAGGATAATTGACATTAAAGGGAATGTGTCACGTTGCCCATTGAGGGTTCAGGTTCTCTTGATACGTAGACCGCATTAAGGGCTTTTAAATCTACCTTGGAGATCATGTACCCCGAGTGTGTCTTGACAGGCCACCTACCCCACCCACGGCAAGCACACCTTCACCATGCTCTGCCATTGTTCCATTCACCTGTCAAAGCTGCTGAGTCTAATCACCTTTGTGCCATTAGTACCCCATTACCAAGGTGAGTCCAATCCATGGGTAACCTTTGTGCCGTTGGTACCCCATTACCAAGGTGAGTCCAATCCATGGGTAACCTTTGTGCCATTAGTACCCCATTACCAAGGTCAACCCTTATAGGAATGGTCAGGAGATCAGTGTCCTACATCTCAGGATCCACCAATCATTTTGACCCATGGCTTTCACCAATGGTGACCTCTTCTGCATTTTTTAATTCATCCTTTCAGTTTGATTTGGTAAGGATGGTGACAGGTCCACTTTAAGTACCCCAAATTTATTTGGAATTCTTTCCTTTGCAGGTATCTCCGACTTGGAAGACAAAGAGGACCTGTTTTTCTGGGAATCCATAAACCCTTCTCGATCCAGCATTTCACCGCATGTAAGTCATCCGGCGTATACAGCTCCTATTAAAGGGCAATCACACTTCGTGGAGGACGATAGTGGTTTTGCCACAATAGCCATCCCGGCAAGCCAATCGCAGTTCATGCCCGCTTTTGTTAGGCATGAACCCTTCCCGTGTCAAGAAGAACTCCTCCCGCCCTCCGACCTGTACTTGGACATGGACGACAGCCATTACACAGCTATTCAGATTAAGGTGGACTCGGGAAGCTTCTCAGACGCAGAGGCGTACAGCATGACAGACGCCTTGCAGTATTCGTCTATTCATATTAAGGAGGAGTCGATGTCGTGCGATGAAGAGATGGTCGCAGCCGGTTATATGTTGCCAGATCCGCCACGGTACGTGGCTCCCCGGGAGGTGCTGAACAGATCGGCGCGCCATAGAAATGCCCCCAAAAGCTCACAACGCCAGAAAAGTGCAGCCATGGCTCAGGAGGCTTCTCCTGTGATATGCTCAGAGTGCGGCGAATGCTTTTCCACCGATTCTATGCTCATCTTGCACCAGATGACGCACAAGGGCAAGAACATTTTCTCCTGCCCCGAGTGCGGCATGTGCTTCAGCAACAACACCTACCTGACGTTGCACCTGGCCACCCACGCCGACATCAGGCTCTACGCATGCTGCGAATGCGGCAAGCGTTTTTCCACAAAGCAGGACTGCGCCAAGCACGAGAATGCCCACACGGTGAGGAAGCCGTACATCTGCACTGAGTGCGGCAAGGTCTTCTCCAACAACTCGAACCGCGTCCGGCACCAGAAGATCCACACGGGCGAGAAGCCCTTCTCCTGCCTTGTGTGCGGCAAGAGTTTTAGGCGCAGGACGCATCTGACCATACACAGCCGCGTCCACACGGGGGAGAAACCCTTCACGTGCCAGGAATGCGGGAAGTGTTTCAGCTGCAGTGCCCACCTTACCGCCCACCGACGTATCCACAGACGGGAAGCCATCTACTTGGTGTGAAGGATGCTGTAGAGAAGCCTTCGGCGTCCCAGCGTTAAGAGGAGGAAGTTAAATTCAAGAGGCACGGCCGCTTTGACCATGAGAACGCCAACACCAAGCTTGGCGAATCGTCATCAGAGACACCTTTATGGGTTGAGAGATACATTTTGGTAAATCTTAGTCTTACCTCCCCCCACGTGGAGCCAGTTTTAAGCAGAACCAATGGTCTATCCCAAGCAACCAAGCAGCGGCACGGTTTGTGAATACCACAGCGGTTGGCGTGGCTTATACAGATGTCTTTCTTTCATCTTTTTCATCCGTTGGTTTGATGTAGGCCTTGAACTTTTTTTAATTTACACTTATTTATTTGAGGACAGCTGCCGGCCCTCAAGATGACTTCCACTTGGTTAAAGTGGAGAATGGGTGGACCAATGGATAGTGAGCGGGTCTTATCAATACCACCTTTTATCGAAGACGGGCTTGACTCTGAGCTGGGAGTTGGGCCCAGCTGAGCCCAGCTTGGTCCTCATTGTAGGAGATGCTTCTTACGTGACTATGTTCAGGAGCTGACTCGATTCAGTATTAGTCTTTTACTTAACTCCCCCCCACCATCTTATGCATGTTTACATGAGACGAGCAGTGGTGTCTTTAAAGGTTGGTTGACCTAAAAGTGATTTTCAGTGTTCAAATGTTCAAAGTTTATTTTGTCTCTCAGGATTTCTATTGGGGAGACCTCTGAGCTTCCTGAGTTTCGGTTTTGCACACCCGCTGTGACCTTTAGGAGGGGTTCCCAACCCTCCCTGCTGAATTTTGTATTTGAAGAATGTGACAGGAGGAGCTGGAGTACACAAAGGTGGGCAGGAACATCCTAGGTGGACATGAACAGAGTTGAGAATTGCCTGGAGATCTCACTGTTGGAGAATCCAAGGCAAAAAAGAAGTTCGAGGTTGACTCAGACCCACCAGACCTTCAGTTTACCCCCCAAAAAAGAGAAATGTTCTGGTGAAGGTAGAATATTGTCTGAAGGAGCTGATTCCCAAAAAGTAGGTCTTGCAGCCATTGGCTAAAAGCCCATTACCACATAGGGGCCTTGTGTTTACACTAGGCCCCCTCATAGTCCATCAGTTCTTCATCTTATAGGGGAACTATATAGGAAGTAAAAGATGACTCGGCTAAGAAGATTGATGGAACGTTTTTAAAAGGCAATAGAGACACTGAGGACCTAGATACATAAGAGCTGGCCATGGTTCCCAAAAAGTAGGTCCTGTGGCCATTGGCTAAATGTTCATGACCATATATGGGTCTTGTGTTTACACTAGGCCCCTCAGAGTCCCTCAGTTCTTCCTCTTTTAGGTAATCTATATAGGAAGTAGAAGATGACTTGGTTAAGGAGGTTGATGGAGCTTTTTCCAAAAGGCGATAGAGACACTGAGGACTTAGATCCACGGTAGCTGGCCATGGTTCCCAAAAAGTAGGCAACCATTGGTTAAACGTTAATGACCATATAGGTGTCTTGTGCTTAGTCTAGGCCCCTCATAGTGCCTCGTTAGGGAAAATTTATAGCAAGTAGAAGCTGACTTGGCCGAGAAGGTTGATGGAGCTTTTTGCAAAAGGAGCTAGAGACACTGAGGACTTAGATCCACAGGAACTGGCCATGGTTACCAAAAAATTAGGTCTTGCGGCCATTGGCTAGAAAATGTATGACCATATAAGTGTTTTTTCTTTATGTTAGGCCCCTTATTGTTCCTCCAGTGTTTCATCTTTTAAGGCAAATGTATAGGAAGTAGAAGTTGACTTGGCCAAGAAGGTTGATGGAACGTTTTTAAAAAGGTGATGGAGATCCCCAGGAACTGGTTCCCAAAAAGTAAATTTTTCAGCCATGTCTAGGCAGTTTATGACCATATAAGTGTTTTGTCTTTAGGTTAGGCCCCTCATTGTTTCTCAGTGTTTCATCTTTTAAGGAAAATGTATAGGAAGTAGAAGCTGACTTGGTCAAGACGGTTGATGGAACGTTTTTAAAAAGGTGATAGAAACACTAAGGACTTAGATCCACAGGAGCTAAATGTTAATGACCAAATGGGTGTCTTGTGCTTACTCTAGGTTCCTCATAGTCCCTCGATGCATTTGGTTTTTTTTAGGGAAAATTTATAGCAAATAGAAGCTGACTTGGCCGAGAAGGTTGATGGAGACACTAAGGACTTAGATCCAGAGGAACTGGACATGGTTCCCAAAAAGTAGACAGCCATTGGTTAAACGTTAATGACCATATGGGTGTCTTGTGCTTACTCTAGGCCCCTCATAGTCCCTCGATGCATCATTTTCTTCAGGGAAAATTTATAGCAGTTAAAAGCTGACTTGGCCAAGAAGGTTGATGGAACGTTTTCAAAAAGGTGATCGAGACTCTAAGGACTTAGATCCACAGGAACTGGCCATGGTTCCCAAAAAGTAGACAGCCATTGGTTAATCGTTAATGAACATATGGGTGTCTTGTGCTTACTCTAGGCCCTTCATAGTCCCTCGATGCACAATTTTCTTCAGGGAAAATTTATAGCAAGTAGAAGCTAACATGCCCCAGAGGGTTGGTGGAATGTTTTTTCCAAAAAGTTGATAGACACATTGAGGCCTGTGTGTGGGAGGGTAGTCCTATCCTTCAGCTCACAACCTCAAAGTCAAGACATTTTTAGCACATAAAGTATTGTAGAAAATGTCCTAATGTGCCCCGAGGAGGATATAGCTAACCCTACATAGCCGAGAACGTTGACAAGTCTTTGAGGTTTGCGTTCCTTAAAGACGGTTATACCAACAATGAACTTGTTTTGGAATTTTTGGAGGCATAATAAAATATTAGGGTGCAACTTCTATCACTGGTTTGTTAATAAAGGGGCCAATTAGGGTCCGGACCGATATTCTGCCACTTTATGTATGGGAAGTGCAATCAGATGATGTACCGTTGCCAGTGTTGGGGCATTGGAGGTGTTTTCTGTTATGGGCAAGTCGTTGGGGAAACTCTTAACCAACGTTAAGCATCATTTTATGTGAGACCGTATCAAACTTTTTTGTTGTATTTGATAGTCCCCCAGAGTTTTTATGAAACTTTTCTCCACCTTGTGTTCCCCTCAGTCAGCCAAAACGTTTTTTTTTTTTAGGGTTGGATAGAGTGAGGAACAATTAGAACTTCTGTTATTTTTTTGTTTGTTACTGTTCTATGTCCCCGCTGGGGAGATTCAGTATTTGTCCTGTGACCAAGATGGAAAGTAAGGGGAAAGGTTAAAATTTTAGAGTTGTCAACAGAAGAGGAGGAAATTTAATGGGGACACTGGTTACGATGACAACTATCTTTGGGGAGATTTCCACAATCTTTCCAAAAAAGGCCATTGCCTATCCTATCCAAAACTAAAAAAAAGTATTGGCTAGATGATGCACAGATGTACTGAAGGAACCTATCAAAGGGGACCTCCAGTAAGCAGTATTTGTACTTAAATTGGTCACTCCGATTCACAGCTGCAAAAATTGGTCTCCTCTCATGATGCACCAGAGGAACAGGTCACCTTATGATGCACCAGAGGAACAGGTCACCTGTCATGATGCAGCAGAGGAACAGGTCACCTGTCATGATGCATGAGAGGAACAGGTCACCTGTCATGATGCATGAGAGGAACAGGTCACCTGTCATGATGCATGAGAGGAACAGGTCACCTCTTATGATGCACCAGAGGAACAGGTCACCTCTTATGATGCACCAGAGGAACAGGTCACCTCTCATGATGCACCAGAGGAACAGGTCACCTGTCATGATGCGCCAGAGGAACAGGTCACCTGTCATGATGTACCAGAGACACAGGTCACCTGTCATGATGTACCAGAGGAACAGGTCACCTCCTAATTTTCCGCTTAGGAACAGGTCACCTCTCATGATGCACCAGAAAAACAGGTCACCTAATGATGCAGCAGATGAACAGGTCACCTCTTGTAATGCAGCATAGGAACAGGTCACCTCTCATGATGCACCAGAGAAACAGGTCACCTTATGATGCACCAGACGAACAGGTCACCTCTCATGATGCACCAGAGGAACAGGTCACCTAATGATGCAGCAGACGAACAGGTTACCTCTTGTGATGCAGCATAGGAACAGGTCACCTCTCATGATGCACCAGAGAAACAGGTCACCTTATGATGCACCAGACGAACAGGTCACCTCTCATGATGCACCAGAGGAACAGGTCACCTCTTATGATGCAGTAGAGGAACAGGTCACCTCTTATGATGCAGCAGAGGAACAGGTCACCTCTTATGATGCAGCAGAGGAACAGCACCAGAGTGCCATTTAACTGTTCTCCTGTTGCAAGATAGCAGTGTTTAATTTTTTGTTAAATATACCAGATTATATTTAGAGTCCAAAGGAAGGCTTTCAATGGGCTCTACCATATGTACCCTGTCTTTGTTCGGCAGACTGTATCATATGTATTTGTATATAGACTGTGATTCTGAACATGTTTTTTAAATTCAAGGCCCTGTAAGATAGAGCGGTTCACCAGCTATACCATAGAAGTCAAGAGACACTATATGGCCGACACTATGTGGTCACTTTTCCAAATGATGGAGTTCAGGTGTGTCCAATGAAGGGTTCTGCAGCATACAAAGAAATTTTGGGGAGTTGTGCGCTTCCAACCTTGTGTCCCAGCATGCCGGCGCCCCTGTGCACAAAGTTAGCACTATAAAAACAGGGTTTGATGAGTCTGGTATGGAGAAAATCCAGTGGCCTGCATAGAGCCCTGACCTTAACCCTACTGAACATCCTCAAGAGAAATTGGAATTCCGATCGTGAGTCGGGTCTTCACATCCGACCAGTACCTGACCTCACAAATGGTCTTTTGGCTCAAAGGGCAAACATTTCCACAGACAGCATAAAGTGAAGCCTGTTATAGCTGGGGGAAAGGGGGGAGGGGGACACAACTCCATATTAACATCCGTGGA